ATGTCAGGTAACATACAAAGTATCGTAACAGTAATCACATGTAGTAATGTCAGGTAACATACAAAGTATTGTAACAGTAATCACATACAGTAATGTCAGGTAACATACAAAGTATTGTAACAGTAATCACATACAGTAATGTCAGGTAACATACAAAGTATTGTAACAGTAATCACATGTAGTAATGTCAGGTAACATACAAAGTATTGTAACAGTAATCACATGTAGTAATGTCAGGTAACATACAAAGTATTGTAACAGTAATCACATGTAGTAATGTCAGGTAACATACAAAGTATTGTAACAGTAATCACATGTAGTAATGTCAGGTAACATACAAAGTATTGTAACAGTAATCACATACAGTAATGTCCAGTAACATACAAAGTATCGTAACAGTACTCACATACAGTAATGCCAGGTAATATACAAAGTATTGTAACATTACTCACATACAGTAATGTCCAGTAACATACAAAGTATTGTAACAGTAATCACATACAGTAATGCCAGGTAACATTCAAAGTATTGTAACACTACTCACATACAGTAATGTCAGGTAACATACAAAGTATTGTAACATTACTCACATACAGTAATGTCCAGTAACATACAAAGTATTGTAACACTACTCACATACAGTAATGTCCAGTAACATACAAAGTATTGTAATAGTACTCACATACAGTAATGTTCAGTAACATACAAAGTATTGTAACACTACTCACATACAGTAATGCCAGGTAACATTCAAAGTATTGTAGCACTACTCACATACAGTAATGTCCAGTAACATACAAAGTATTGTAACAGTAATCACATACAGTAATGTCAGGTAACATACAAAGTATTGTAACACTACTCACATACAGTGATGTCAGGTAACATACAAAGTATTGTAACACTACTCACATATAGTAATGTCAGGTAACATACAAAGTATTGTAACACTACTCACATACAGTGATGTCAGGTAACATACAAAGTATTGTAACACTACTCACATACAGTAATGCCAGGTAACATTCAAAATATTGTAACACTACTCACATACAGTAATGTCAGGTAACATACAAAGTATTGTAACATTACTCACATACAGTAATGTCCAGTAACATACAAAGTATTGTAACACTACTCACATACAGTAATGTCCAGTAACATACAAAGTATTGTAACACTACTCACATACATTAATGTATAGTAACATACAAAGTATTGTAACACTACTCACATACAGTAATGTCCAGTAGCATACAAAGTATTGTAACACTACTCACATACAGTAATGTTCAGTAACATACAAAGTATTGTAACACTACTCACATACAGTAATGTCTAGTAACATACAAAGTATTGTAACACTACTCACATACAGTAATGTCCAGTAACATACAAAGTATTGTAACACTACTCACATACAGTAATGTTCAGTAACATACAAAGTATTGTAACACTACTCACATACAGTAATGTCCAGTAACATACAAAGTATTGTAACACTACTCACATACAGTAATGTTCAGTAACATACAAAGTATTGTAACACTACTCACATACAGTAATATATTATATATTTATCACATGCATATTTTCATATTTCAAAATGATGGAGTATTGATGAAATAACACTGCATATAAATATATGATTGTGTGCACCACATATGCAATTTGTGTTCGTATGGTGTTCTGCTTAACATGACTGCCTTGCATACACTGTTGTGATTCAGCTTATTTGTGATATTTGCCACTATTTGCTAGATTTTTTTTTATTTTTAACATTGATCAATCACATCTAAACTTGACACACTTCTGAATGCACATTGACCAATCAGATTCAAACTTGGCATGCTGCTGAAAGCACATTGACCAATCAGATTCAGACTTGGCATGCTGCTAAAAACATATTGACCAATCAGATTCAAACTTGACATGCTGCTTAAAAAGCACATTGACCAATCAGATTCAAACTTGACATGCTACTAAAAACACATTGAACAATCAGATTCAAACTGACCTGCTGCTAAAAGCACAGCGACCAATCAGATTCAAACATTACATGCTACTAAAAACACATTGAACAATCAGATTCAAACTGACCTGTTGCTGAAAGCACATTGACCAATCAGATTCAAACTTGATCTGCTGCAAAAAGCACATTGACCAATCAGATTCAAACTTTACATGCTACTAAAAACACATTGACCAATCAGATTCAGACTTGGTATGCTGCTAAAAGCACATTGACCAATCAGATTCAGACTTGACACACTTCTAAATGCATATTGACCAATCAGATTCAAACTTGACCAGCTGCTAAAAGCAGATTGACCAAT